TGAGATGGAGACCATTGATATTGGTTGGAGGATCGGTAAGCAGCTTTCTCTTGCATTTTCTCCCGCCTTTCAACAGAACGATAACAAGTACCATAGTTCACGTAACGAGTGGCTGCCGTGCCCGGGGGGTTATGGCCAAGTTGGCCGTTGTTGATGTCGATCGCGCAGCGGGGCATCTGTGAGTTTCTTTACTTGCTATCCGAGTCATTGCTGCAAATAAACTGACCGATGCGTCCTCCAGTGTGATGGTTTTGGGGGTTCTTGGGTTGTTTGGAATTGGGCCTTTGGTGTTGGAGCCTTGGTGCCGATTGCCTGTTTGGGGTGACGACGGAGAGGGTATGCGGCCTGCCAAGGCCGGGGAAAACATCTCTTGTAAGCATCTAATCGCTCTGTCTGTTCTGGAACATCCTAACTTACTATCATTGCAGTCTCTTTTATGCTCGTGGATCGAGGCCACTTGTTCAGTTGGATCATAAGGTTCAAGGCAGCAGCTGTATGACCTTGAGACTTAACATTAAGGTTATTGTGTTCTTTGGCGTAGTGTATGACGCTATACATTGTGATATGCTGAAAAATAAGCATTATATTGTGTTATTCTCATTATATGAGACCTTATTAGCTATGCCTTGCGTATTGGCTACAGAGATATTTGACTTTTCAATAAAACAGAATACACCAAACACTTTCCTCTTGCGCCTACCGTGACATGTTTCCTGACTTTAATTCATTCTGCGACGCAAGATTCTTCGGTCGGGCGGGGCTGCTGCCTAAGGTTCAGCCGCAAACTCAAATTTCCAGGCTTCGTGTCACTAAAGTCTCAGTGGCCAACTTGTGTGACGTGGCCTGATTATAAAGCCCCGCGCCCATCCTCTCTCGCCTTATCTCTATTGTCCGTCCGCCTTTCACAGCAGGAATCCAACGCACATTACTTTGCATCTCAGTATTGCGCAACGGACATTCTTCGATGGTTTCTGGAGCAATTACTCCATATCAAGCACGGTCTCCCATTCTTCCGTTCTAGCCTGTTCTCTTGTCTTGGCTAACGCTGTTGCTCGGCCCATACTCGCCTTCAACCGATACCCCTCTTCGTGGGCTTCAATCGATCTGCCATGTCTTCCTCCCCGTTCTTGAGTCTCCCCCCGGAGCTTCGTCAAATCATCTACAAATACTACTACACTGCTTCTGATGGCTATTTCCTCCAACCAATCTCCCGCAAGCTCGCCGCCGCCAATGGCAAAAAAATTCACCTCGCCCTGATGTACACCTGCCGCCTCATCGCCTACGAGACCAAGGACCTGCCTCTATCATTCAATAGCATCACCGTCTCCACAGTCTATGATCCCGAATATCGTCCTTGGGCTGGCCGCTTCGACTATCTTCTCTTCGCTCAGTTTCGAAAACAGTTAAGCCTTGTTCTCGTCTTGGGCAACTGGTTTCTTACTGAAGAAATGTGGGTTCGTATTGAACAAACATTTCCCTGGTTCGTGCCGCAACTCAGAGATGCCCTACGCGAACACCGACACCATTCACGTCGAAGCGAACTCGGAGGCTATGAGTATTGGAATTTCTCAAATTCCTTCAACCACTCAGCAGAGGCTTTTTGCCGGCGGTCCTATGGATTGTCCGCGCTTTGTGAGGCCCTCGAATTCACCCTACGTATTCTTGCCCAGAAGGAAACGGAGAAATCTAATAGAATTATCGAGTATGAACTTCTAGGCTGGGAGCATAGCGGTAGCGCCCGGCTCCTCAACTTTCTCGATCAGTGCTTTAAACCTTGGGACATACCGCACGCTGATGTCCTCACAGAGATGGGGCGCAGGTTCGGGGATGATCGCCTCTGGGCTACTCTCGAGGACTGGACGCCCAACACAAACCACACAGAAGAGTATCATGCGAGATTTCGCATCTCCGCCGCTTCTGCGGCTATAGATTGGCTCAAAAAGCTTCCCGCAAAGAAACGAGTGTGCATTCGTGGTTTGGCAATCATTGAAGATTACCCATCTGTAGGTCGTCAAGAGTGCCAGGCTGCAGGCCTTATCCCCTTCTGCAGAGAGAATCCACAGTTGCGGATCAGCCACCAGGTCAGTATGCTAAATGTCATTTTCTCTCGGGCGTTGCTCCGCCGCGCTGCTTCTTTTGAAAGTTTGCAAACATACGCGAGCCATGAAATTGGAGAAGTAGCCTTTCAGAAGGCAAGCTCTGCGTTGTTTTCTGAGATGGTAAATTGGCTATCAGAGATCATATCTCTTCCTAAGGCCGGAATGCCCGATGATTCCTATACCTTTTCACTAGATGGTGAACCTATTCCCCTTGTCTGCTCCCGGATCTTCCAACACATTGTGCTTCGCAAGGAGACCATGCGAATCACTATAGAGCAGTCGCTCCCATCATTGGATATAGGTACTCGGTTGGATATAGGCCCCAAGTTGCACCGAGGACACGGCAATGCATTTGCCCAGCTTGTCGATAACAGCTCCTTCATCAAAGCCAACTTCGACACTGGTCAGCTTTGGAACGTAGAGGAAATGATGGCTGAGTTTCAACGGATTGGAGTATGGGGATTTGTTCACAAATATGACCGTTTTGAATTCGACTTTCAACTGCTTCGCCCACCATCGGTTCTTGACCTACCGAGGCTGGGAGCACTGGTAATGGAGAATTACGAAAGCAGGCCTTGCCATCGACCCCGGAAATCATATTGGTTATACACATCACCTCCCGGGGAGTTGGACACAGCGCCAAGGGTGTGAATCTAGGCTCCTCAAGACTACCCATAGAGCGAAACATCCTTTGCAGATAACAGTTGGGTTTTTAATTTCTTCGGGGAAGGTAGGCCAGATGCGTTGATTGTCGAGTGCCATTTCGATGTGCTCAATAACAAGCTGGGCAATTTAGATAACACTGTGTACTTTAGCTCTTAGAATCGTTATTGCTAGTAATGTGTAACCCGATGCCTTTCATCCAGTCAACGCTAATACCAGATATGAACTTGGAGTTCCAATCCGCCAACGGGTGACACGGTGCTTGACATTGTTTACAATCTTGACTTAGTATTCACATCACCAAGTCACGACGCAATGAAGGTAAGGCGTCCGGTTTGTTAACCAAGGGTTGAATTGGGCTAAGCAATTCTCCTGTGAAAATTGATTTCCCGCATTGTAGGCTACCCGGGAGGATCGAAACCACAAATCACTCTTTTCTCCTCAATTGACTAGAGTTGTAGCCCGATTCTTCTTCATCGTGCGCTAAGGTTTTTCTGTGGAGGACAATGTAATAAGACCTCTATTTTCAGTCGTTGATACACATGTTTTAAAGTTAAGTTGGGAAACAAGCCTGGCATAACCAACGACAAGATAAGAGAGCGGTGAATTTAAGTGCTGTTGTCTCAAAAGTGCCCAGGGTCTTTTAGGCAGACAATGATTGACGGGACTTTATTGTTCCACGAATAACATGCTCCGTAGACTTCAATTACCCTGTATTGAGTAATGGCTTTTCCGAATTGGCGATGAGGAACTTGCGCGCGATTGAAGGTTTGGGGGTCGAAAGATCAACATCGAATTCCAGTGAAACCCCAACAACGTTAAAACTATTGGCAAAATAGTAATGATAGCCCGAGGCCTGAGGCGAGGTAGTGTGAATGGTGCTGCGGGTATAAACACAAGGTCGAGCCATGACAATCGCTATTGGGTCTGAAGTGCCTCAGCTTAAAATCATCGAGACTCTGGCATCACTCAACCAAGCTGTTTTTGCAACATATTTCCGCTCTTGGGGCGCTGGTTCTTACTACTGTCAATACCGTGTCTCTTCCAGCTGGAGTACCCCGCGATATCTCAGAGTTCAGAGACAAATATCCCTACGCTCCACCCAAGCACGAACACCGTAAAAGCGTCCGGATTCGTAGTCTCATAATGACGCAGACGATGTTTCGTAAGAGTTCAAAAGGCGCGTACGCAAAGAAAATAGAGGAGGTACTTTGCATCTAGCCAAGGGAAAGACATATATCATTGGTATGGTAAAGCTCTAGACTTGACTAGCCCAGAGGATATCTAAATTCACCTTGATGGTGAGATTAGAGGAATTGTGATTTATACTGAAGCTGTGTGTTTTTCTGACCGCTCTGATTTACGGATGATGTCGAGTACTGGCAAATTAATGCCTGGTCCCATCCATTCCAGAAATCGATGATGTTCTGCAAGTGGCGAGGAAAGGACATTAAAATCTACGGCAACGGTGTTATCGAATGTCAAGGGTTGGTCAACATCATCTGTATTCATGATAAAAAGCTGACTACATCAGACAACGGTGGTGGAATGAATTTGAATCTCAAGTACATCCCCATTGTCGAAAAAGAATACTCAGACCAACTCACGATTCATAGCATTCCGAACCTCGACAACAAACATTATAAGCGCCCAATCCTCTTCTACGCCGAGGACACGACGAATCTAGATGTCTCGGGCATAGATCTCAAAGACTCGCCTTGTTGGAACAACTTCATCGTCAGATCCAAGACCATAAAGTCCACGGACGTTGTAGCGACTATCCTTTCTAATAATTAAAGCATCATCCCAAGAACACGGATTTCATGAACATCTTAACTGTTCGGATAGAGAGAACCTGGGCTAACATCGATGACGACTGCTTCTGACCAAAGCCAAACAGCCTAGATCATCATGTTAATACGATGTATTGCAATGGCACTCATGGACAGGTCAGTACTGGGCTGTATTGAAGAGAGTAAACTGACTGAGATAGTCCATGGACTCTCTGGGCCAGTACAAGGACGAGGTCTCTAATGTCTACGATGTGCAGTTGTGCACATTGAGAATGTTTAGATGAAACAGGGATGTAAGTGCAAAAGAATTCCTTGGTGATTGTATCTAATCTCTTTAGTAGTCGGCCGCTCGTATTAAAGTTTGGGCCGGTGAAGAAACTGGCACAAGATTCGTCAACAACGTCACCTTCAACTTTCAAGTATGTCTCACCAACAATGGCACGAACGACCTTCGCTCATCGGATAACAGAAACTTCTGGGTCGCGCGAATGGACTATGGTATCATTCTGGACTCATGCTACTTCAGCATCTCAGCCGACCGCGAGATGTCTATGATCGAGGTTCTATTGAACACGAGATGTCATCGACGGGACAGAGAGGGAATTGGCGTCAGATAATCTCGGAGTATCCCAGCCTAGAGTTCGTGGGAGGTAGGCCTTGTCATGCGGACTTGTATCCTTTCAAAACTTCACGGGGTGAGTCATGACAAAGATAATACGAGGCAGAACTGACAAGAACAGTATCAATACCATAGACTACTGCTGCCCAACAATCTTCAAGTCCATCGGCTTCACTGGTACCTCTGTTGGCCTGCTCGCCACTGGAATTTTCGGCATCGTGAAGATGGCTGCTATCATACTCTATTCTGCATTCCTGGTCGAAAAGCTAGGACGACTACCGCTACTAATGATAGGCGGCGTTGGCACTGATGTGGCAACGTTCTACCTGTTCGGCTACTCTAAGTTATCCGGGTCCTTTAAACATATCCCACCGATGGATGCTGGAGCAAAGACTGCCGTACCGATGGTATAGATATATGCTTTGTTTTACGGTGTGAGTTGGAATGGCATCCTGGGGCTCTCCACCTCGGGATTTAACCCAAACAGGGTCCGTACTCTTGGAATGGCATTCGGTATCTGCGTTCAGTGGGTGACTCAGTTCATTGTGGTTTACAGCTTGCCGCATATGATCATCGGGTAAGTCTAGAACTTCACAGCATTCGCATATGCTAACTGCCTAGTATTACCTATGGTACCTTCCTCTTCTTCGGCGCATACACCGTTCTGGCAATCATCTTTATATGGCTGTTTATTCCAGAGACAAAGGGCGTACAGTTGGAGGACATGGATCTACTTTTCGGACCTAATGTGCCCATTTTAGCGTTCCAGGCGAGGACCAACTATTTGCAGGTTATCGGTGCTCGGGGGTTGGAATAGAGAGATGGGGGGAAGTGAAGGCAACAGAGATTGAGAATGTTTGACCAGCGAATCAGGGTGTCAATTGTTACGGCTTCACCTCAAAGGCATATCTGCTAGTGTTGGGAAGGAAGTATAAAACGGCTCGTAAAAACAACAATCATATGCGGAAGCATGACTAAAACCACCTAGACAGAGTCTAGATACTCAAATAGTTCCCTGGCCCCAGAAGACACCACGACCGTTGGTCCCAACATAGACCAATCCCGCCTCGTTTCCACTTCCAGCAAGTTTAGCACTGTCCGCTGCGCCAAAGCCCATAGAACCCTGGAGATCCGTCCAAGTCTTGCCAAGATCAGAACTGCCATATAACTTGCGGCCCGCAGACCCCGTTCCGAAGGCGTACACATTCCAGTTGCTTCCAGAGCCTTTACCAAGAGCAATCTGCTCCGTCTTGCTAAGACCGCTAATCTTGGAGAAAGCGCTGCCGTAGTCTGTGCTGCGGAAGATACCAGCGTCAGTAGAGACCCAGACCTCGCCAGCCTTGGTAGGATGAGCGGCGATATCTTTGACGGAACTGGCTCCGTCGAGAGAACCACCAGTGGAGAAACTCGAAGCAGTATTGTTGGAGACATAGAACTTTGACCCTGATGCACCGTAGAAGTAGTCGTTGTCTTGCTTATCACTAGCAACGAGAGCGCCGGTCTGAAGACTGGAGACAGAAGCGAAGCTTCCTTCGTTCTGAGATCTCAAGACACCTCTGTTATCGGGAGACCAGAGGATCGTATCTCCATTTGCAGAGTAGGAGATGGAACCTCCCTTGGGGCCTTGCTCAGCCGCGCCATGAAGCTTCCACGATTTACCGCCGTCAGATGATAGTGCGACTTGAGGGTTGCTGTCACTGTTTCCAGCTCGGACCACGTTGCCAACCTTCTTTCCAGCATAGTCAGCACTAGTAGATGATGTGAACATTGGATTGTCCCAGGCTGAGAGCGGCGATTGGCCGAGAGCGCTCTTGGAGGCAAAGGTAAAACCGCTGTCGTCGCCGACGGCGGCAAGAAGTTCACTTCCACCGGGAGCTGACTTGACGTCAAGAACTGCCGTCTCCTCGATACCGTCGGCGAGAGATTCGATGGTGATGTTGTGGACGGTATCCCACTTGGTAAGATCATGGCCTCCATAGAGAGTTAGGCCAGTGCCGTAGAGCCAGTGGTTGCTGTCAAAGGGATCAATAGCCAGAGCTTCAACCATCCAACCCAACTTCTTGGTGTCAACTGAGATGAAGTTCTTGTAGATCCAGGGTGCCTTTGGTGTCGAGATGCTGTAGTGAAGATCGAGGTTACCTTGAGCGTTGTAGTTCCAGAGTGTAGACCAGGTCTTGCCCGAGTCAGTTGATCGGAAGAACTGGGCATCGGGGTACCAAGAGTTGAGTGAGGCAACGACAAGAGTAGCCGATTTCTGGCGGTCGAGCGCAAGACCACCGAAGCCGAAGTAGATATCTCCCGGTGGGGTGATGTCCTTCCAAGTGTTGGCGGCAACATCATAGCGGTAAACGGCACCGGCTGTGCCATCATAAGGTCCACCACCATTGCTGTACGATAGGTATAGAGCCTTCTCCTTTGGTGAGAACTGACCTTTGTGCGGTAGATACTTTACAGGCTGACCATCAACCGGCTTCCACGTCTTACCCGCATCAGTAGTCACATACACAGAAGCAGTCTTTGTGTCCGCAACACCAACGAAGATGCGGGACGTAGCGCCATTGACAAGAGATGAAGTAGAGTCAAATGTGACAAACGACAAACCCTGAATATCGTTGTTATATCCAGAGGTATCACTCGGATCTGCAACATAGGTACCGACGTTGGTGAAAGAAGTGACCTTGGAGAAGCTCTTGCCACCATCTGTACTCTTCCAGAGGCCGTTACCGCTTCGTGCCCCAAAGTAGATGATGTTGGAGTTCTTCGGGTCAACAGCGAGACGCTCGCCCATACCCCGGCCGGGCATGTTACCGCCTACCTTGAAGGGGAGTTCGGTGAAGGACCATGTGGCGCCTTTGTCGTTGCTGATACCGATAGCTCCATTGTTGGGGTCCCTATGGCAGTATTAGACTCCCGACCTCCATAGGTAAATCTGCTTTAGGTGACTTACCATGAATTGGTGTACAAACCAGCGGCAGTGAGAACCTTGTTAGGGTTGCTTGGATCAAGGGCCAGAGCATCAATACCCCAGCGGCTCCTACAGAGGTGTCAGTGAGCTTCACCGAATTTCGTATTTCAACATACCATGTGGCATCAACACCAGTGCTATCAGTCAGCGGCGTCCAAGAGTCATCCGCATTCAGGCGATATAGTCCACCAATATCAGTTCGCGCATACGCGACGCCCTTGGCAGTAGGATGGAACTCAATGCCAGGAACAAAACCGCCTCCACCGCCAAAACGGACGTTCTGCCACTTGAGAGCAGCTTGTGCAACGCTTGCCGAAGCAGCGAGAAGAGAAAGGAACTTCATGGTCTAGTCCAGTAAATAACGAATTACAGTGTATTGACAGAAGGTCTGAACATCATAATTGGCGAATTATAGGTGTCTTTTATATCAGCGCTTTGAGGTGACGTGATAGACTGGTCCTGTTGTCATTTGCAGTGTTTCGGATATGAAGCCTCCGTGACGAAACAGGATGACGCAGGGGTACAAGGCTCACCAAGCCCCGAACATGCTCAAAATCGAATGGGTTGCGAGACTTTTTTATTCATCGCCGTATTTCATCTACGGCACTTGGAGATTTTCCACCTACCAGATGAGTCTTGTGCCTCACGAGGATGATTGGTGGTGGCATCTTGCCAGTCTCGGGCCGTCATATACCGCCGTTTGTCCGAATGAGGCAATTGTTGGTTTCGTGCCGCATCCGAGATCAACTTACGCCATATTTTCGGAGTCTCGGCACGACTTACAGTGATGCACGTGTACGTGATTGATGTGCCAGAGGATAGTGGATAGATCTGTAACCCTCTTTCTGCCCGACGTAAGCATTTATTCCAAGCAAGAGAAGCATGTCCTTATCGTCTCAAGGTATCAGTTCTACATTCGGCCATGCTCAATGGCTGAGGCACAACAAGACTTCTGAGGGATCATTCAAGACATACGGAGCAATCTGTCTTAAATTCATCATTCATGTCATAAGGTTGAAGGCACTTACCTAATTCTTGGTGAACGACTCCTCGCCATCTGTTGAGTCACACAACCTTGATAAGGCTCATGTCCGTCGTCTATGTACCCGCTGGACTATAGAGAGCTGCCTTTATCCATGGGCTAGTAGTCTTCTGAGCAACCTGTTAGCTACTCCTTCTCGAGAACGGTAACGGACCTTCACCCAGTGAGCTAAAGATCGACAAGGTAATACTCCCTCATTCCAAGTCTTCGAGAGCTCTTCGCACCGCAGGTGGAATCACCATACCCAGAACGTTTCACCTAGTCTGCCACTGTTGCTAGATGCCCATGCTGGTGCAGACGATTAACTGCCGCCAAGGGCAAGACGGCAAGAAAAACAACAACATGATTTATAAAAGGCTCCTGTCGGAACCCCTGCCATTTGTAGCCCCAAAACTTGGATCTGGGTTCCATAGCTGGCTTCCAAAGGATTGCAGATGGACCGTCGACAGGTGTCGGCCGAGATGAAGACACTGTCTGATAACGAAGGAAAAACACATCTAGTGCTGCTGTGATTGAACATTGGGTCCTTGATAAGAATGGAAGAGAATCTTCTTTGGATATAGGTCAGCACTCTTGACATTCCCTTGAAGCTGATCCTCTATCAGATTTGGTGGAAATTCTGTCACTACCTTTCGAGTCCTCTCGAGTACGTGAGAACCTGGCATTGTTTCAATGTCTATATCCTTTTTTCGGGCCGTTTATCCAAAACTGAGGCGTCATACAGAGCACAGGATTCGGTTTTTTTGACGGCAGTTACTGGCTGACCGTATTCCTTTGCACCTATAAAACGCATGCCCTTCAAGACACAGGCCTTCATTAACCACCACTCTAACCAGTCCCTTTTCCTGCATTCTATAAGAATTCCCACATCCAAGCAGGTTCAGATAGCAATTGGAACCATAAAATCTCTGGTATTGCCAAATGCGATGCGCCCGCTTTCTTCTTGAGCATCGTTAATGGAACTGGAACATGCCTTCAGAAACTGCCCCAAACTTTGCCTTTCCATATGGCCACTCCTCCATGCAGATCTTTTCGAAACTCTCGATGAGCTTCAAATAAGTCTTCATATCTAGGAACTGCTAGTACTTTCGTGCTTTCTCCTGGAACTTCCGTATAGTCAAGTGCTCTTCGTTGCCTCCTAGCACTTGGCCATCAGCCTTGCTTACTGGTCTATCATCCTGTCCTACCTCTAGCCGTTTCTCGTGGTGTCTCCCTCACTTCAACTTCGAGGCGCAGACCAACATGGACATAGCCCGTCGGGATGGAGATATTCGGCAAATCATTCAGGGAAACGGACTGCTATGCGTTACATAGAGAGTGCTAGTCCCAGTTGTCGACCCCAGTGGTGCCATCCGACAACCACTATATGCGGCACTTATTTATGATACAGTTCTGGGCCGTTACCTTTCATCAAAGACCAGTAGCGCACAATTTGATGGGGAACTGATGTAGGATCTTCTTCGGCGTATAATGAACTATTGAAAGGGGTCAGTATATTCCAGGTAGCCCGGGAATACTCTCTGAGTACTTCAACTGAGTTCAATGTGCCGCTCTCAGCTACTGGTATCAGCTGTTAGACATTATACCAAAATGCCCAACCGATTACTCAAGTAAGAAGCTAGATACCTTGAAGTACCTTAACGATTTCAAGTGCTAAATTCATCAAGGTTCAGCGCCTCTACCTTCGAGTTGCTACTGGCATCCTATCCCATCAGCACTACTCGTTGATTGACGTATAGTGAGCGTTATGGATCAGTAGCAAGACTCTTCTTGGAGCCGCCATGTCGCTACAAGAACTGACAATAGAAGGCGAGAAATCAGGATAACTGGATCTTGACATTATGACCGCAGCCCGCGTTCAGCTATTGTCAACCACGTTCGTAGCCAGATCTTCCCGCGGTTGACTCAAGTTTGAAAGGCCATCTCTTTAATGCTGATCTTGATCAGCACTCCGCCTGGCTTTCCATCTGCCTTGCTAGCCTTGGTTTTAAACCTCAACTGACTGTGCTGTTCGTCTTGGCAAAAAGTTTCTGCATGTTTGCTGCCCTGCCTGTTAGGAATGGAAGTAGTGCGTTCATGCTTTTAGACCCATCTTCCTCCCAATCGCTCCCTTTGACCGCGACCAGCACTTCAACTAGACTGGCTGTAAGTTCGGGCGTCGCCTGATCATATTGGTCTCTAATCCGCTCTCGTTACCGTTGCTTGAAGTAATATTATCTATTTAACCTTTCCTGTGGATCGATGGGCCAACCGAGGAGCGTAGTGTTAGGCCACCGTCGTCCCACCACAACCGGCACTGCAACTTCCGGAATGATGCCTCCCACGATCTAGAAAGACAACAAAGACGCAAATATCGGGTTTTGGAGGACCTTGGAAGGAAAGACTGCCATCATCATGACCGCTTGTGGCTTGCAGACCACAGACGACGGTTTGGATAGGGAGCCAAAGGCCAGCGAGTCATTAATGAATTACTGTCGATTACAAGTCCGATACGCTTCTCAGTCAAGCCTCTCGTTTTCCGAATACACAGAAGTTCGCCCCGAAGGCTAGATACCAGGCGTGTCACTCAGGGGATTATTGAACCGACGGACGAGATGAACGAGCGCATTATGAAGATCCTAGCTGGTGCTGATCGAGAGACTGAGTCTGGCATCGTCCGAGGTTCTAAAAATTGAGTTGCCTAGATTACTAACGGCTTCGTCGCGAAGACATTCAAACTGATGCCTGACCAGGGCCTGCCTTAGTTCCTCCCTGATCAGCATGGGAGTCGATGATATTACCGGTAGACAGATCATGGTCCTCTGTCAACGACGAGGGATCTCCTTGCACATAAAGGACATCCTCCAGAACGCCGGTACTATGCTATGGAGGCCAAGACCTATCTCTTATGTCAATTCATCTGATAAAGGGGATTTGGTGGACGAGATTGACCGCTTCTACTTTCTTTTGTAAACGACAAGAAAACTATACCCTTGGGCTCCTATATAATATTGATCCAAGTTGTACTTCAGTCTCTAAGTAATTAATTAGGACCTGAATATAGCGATAAAATTAACTAACACCCTTCATCACTTATCATCGAACTGGCTGTAAGTCGAGACTTGTATGTCTGCTAGTCGGTGTACACTCCAACCTCATCCAAAAACTTGTAATATCTAGCTCCCTTTGCGATTCTCCACCTCTTTCCTAACAGGACAAGGAAGATAGCTGCCAGTACAGACAGCAAGACCATAATACCAAAGCACGTCATGGTCCAGCCGTAGCCGGCAGCTTCAATAAACGGCTGGACAGAATACGAGATGGCGAAATTGACCATTGAGGAGCACATAGCTAAAACAACCACTAGCTAGCTCTCCAGATATCTGGGATTGTCAGTCTTCTTCTCAGTATGGGATGGGCTCAGAAACTTACTCCTGGGAAACAGTCCATGGCATATGCAGTGGCAATCTTGCAAGCTTCAGCTTGATGTGAGATCATGGCGCCGATACCGATCGCGATGGTAATCCAATGAGCTTCCGTCTGAGTACCCCAGCCATAGAGCATGTACCCCGCCGCCGCGAAGACAAAGCAAGTAACAAGCATATAGAGTCGCATTTCAGGTTCTTTGATCCCATCATTGCGTCGCGCCAAAGCAATAACAACTTGATCGCTTAGTACACCGATACCCCAACCGGGGGTGTCTCCGACCAAAACGGCGAAGAATACAAGACCAGTATTGGTGGTACTAAATTTGTAAGGTGGTTCCGTCAGGATCTCGGAGATGGTGTTGAAGGAAACAATACCGGCAGTGGCCCCGACGGCATAAATGAACGCGGCCTAGGTTTGATGATCAGTGAGGGGCAGTGGCTTTTTGACGGAAAGACTTACTATGAGGATGTTGGGAAAGCCCTAGGGAACGAAGAGACGCTGGAAATATTGCCAGAAAGACGTTTTGTTTTGAGGATATTTCACCAACAGTTTCAAGATCTGCCGGTAAGATCGCTTGGGAAAGCCATCGGCAATGCCATTAACCTGGCTTAAAACTGGTCTGAGCTCCAGCTTCTTTCCTGCAGTAGATTTCTCCGCTGTCTCTTCATCCTTCTAGGAGGCAAGAGGAGGCGACTACAATCCCTCAAATAGGAAGCGAGGGAACATTGTCTCCTCGAAAGAAAAGGTGAAAGCAATCAGCACAAATGCAAAGATGAATCTGACGATGTTCTGTGACCATCTCCATCCGGCGGTATCAGACATGCTGCCACCAGAGATAAGGCCTAGCCTGTCATGAGGACAGTATAAAGTCCCCACAGATATTGATGACGGCTAGTCTTACGTGGACCTAGGCTGCTGAGCAACAAACAACATGTAGAAGATCTAAACATCAAGTCAGTAACCTTGCGGGAGCCTGATACTGGTCAGGTACCTACAGTAAGCTGAATGATGGCTTGTTACGCAGACGTCCCAATTCCGTTCACGATCATGTTAAGCATCCATTGAACTGTCCCTTCGATGGCAGCGCGCAAAAAGCCAGTTACAAGACAGAGACATGTTGCCGCGAGGAAAACCAGCTGCTGACGATGCTGTTTGTGAAATCACCAATGTCAAAGACTTCAATGTTCGGACGCCGTGCAGGGGAGAGCATGTCATTCTTTGAGATGGGATGCAATGTGATATCGGTGTCAGTTGCGTGAAGTATGACAGTGATGAGGCCGAAGCGGCGTTGAAGGCACGGTGTACGACTCCAATGGTAGCCATTGACAAGGATCCTTGGGGCAGCGGGGTCATTGCGAAAAAGAAGGGAGCCTTTCATCCGCAGTGGAGGTTGCGATTTGGAACATCTGTAACAAGTTATGGCATTGTACAATAGTTACGTAAACCTCAATTGTTGTATGCTAAATGCTAGTTTCTCCTCAGACTCGGTTAAACAGTAAACTCATGGTGACCCGATCCAACAGTCTTCGTCTCCTGTGTACCCGGCAAGGTAACCTTGGCCTTTGTGTTTGGCGGAATCCTGACCTTGAGATGAAACTTCCCATTCGTTACAGTCCAATCCGTCGAAATGGTTCCATACTGGCTAACATACGTTGCACTTGCATAAGAAAGGTTACCGCCAGGAATAGGCGCAATAGCAATAGTCTTGTACCCAGGCTCCAAAGGCGCGATACCTCCAATGAACTGGTGCATCCAATTGGCAACGGACCCAAAAGAATAATGGTTGAAGCTGGTCATCTCGCCGGGGTTGATAGTGCCATTGGGAAGCATGCTATCCCATCGCTCCCAAGTAGTTGTGCCGCCCATGACCACTTGGTATAGCCAAGACGGAACCTTCTCCTGGAGGAGCATCCGGTAGAAGACGTCTGTTGAGTTGATGCCTGAGAGTGCAAAACCAAGTTGAGATGTTCCGGCAAAGCCTGTACCAACAAGGTAGTCGTTGTTCTTGATGATGTCTCGCAGGGTGTCGGCCGCTGTGTTCTTCTGCTTTTCATCTTTAAGAAGGTCGAATGCCAGAGACAGAGCGTACGCGGTCTGAGTTCGGTTGGCTAACTTGCCGCCGGGGGCCCAGGCACTCTGGAACTGGCGCTTGAGATCAGAGTGTTGAGTTTCGTACTTCTTGGCGAGCTTGGAGTTTCCAAGAGCCCCGATAATCTGGGATAGAGTCTGGGTCATCTTGACCAAGTAGGCATCTGAGACTAGGCTAGCGTCTGTCGTCGCAGCGCCAGGTTGGTCCGGGGGTGCAAGAGGGTCGAGCCAGTCACCAAACTGAAGTTTACTGCGGTTCCAAAGGCCAACATCGTTTCGGGAGATGCCAGTATCGATCCAGTTCTGGGCCTGAGGGAGATGTTCCTGAAGCAATGCCTGATCACCGAAGGATTGATAGATGTGCCATGGGTTACCAACCACCACGTCTCCCCATACTGATGCCGGCATGGGAGGTTTGTCTAGAAACAAAGGGATTGAGGGAACATACACTGGCGGAACCATCTCGTTCTGGGACATTTCGGACCAGATGTCCTTGTGCCAGCCCTTCCAGAAGGCTGATGTGTCGTAGAGGTAGTTGGACGTAGGGCCGAAAACGTGTGCATCACCCGTCCAGCCAAGTCGCTCGTTTCGCTGAGGGCAGTCGGTTGGGATACTCAGAAAGTTACCCTTCATGGACCACCGAACGTTGGAGTGGAATTTGTTGAGAAGATGGTTGGAGCAGTTGAAGTAACCAGTCTCTTCCAGATCTGTATGAACAACAATAGCCCTGACGCTGTTCGCATCCAGGGGTGTTTCCTTAGGCCAGCCGTAAAGCTCAGCGTAGCGAAAGCCATGAAATGTGAACTTGGGCTCCCACTGGATAGGACCTTTACCGCTGAGCGTAAGATAGTCCTCAGCCTTGGCTTGTCGGAGAGGTCGAAGAGCCAACTCGCCATTCTCCAGAACCTCGGCGTGACGTAGTCGGATAGTCGTGTTCTTGGGACCATCAACCTTGAGCCGCAGCCAACCAACGAGGTTCTGTCCAAAGTCAACAAGCTGTTTTCCAGAAGCGGACTTAAAGAAGCGCTGTGGCTTCACTTCTTCAACGCGTCTGACAGGCGGCTGCTCGGCAGGAACAAGCTCGCCATCTAGAGAAGGCAGAAGACGAGTGTCGCTCCAAGAAGAACTCTTGAACCCAGGCTTGGACCATCCCTTGATATCGGCTTCGAGAGTTGCGTTGTATTTGTCTCCATCGTAGATCTCACCGGCAGTAGCAGGGCCAAAGCTTGACTTCCAAGTGGTGTCGGTGACGATTTTGACTGTCTTTCCAGTCTTGGATTTCACGTGGAGCTGGGCCAGAAGACCAGTAGAGTTGCCGTAGATATTTCTTTGACCGCCGTCGAATCCCAGTCGTCCAGCATACCAACCTTCACCGACAAGAGCGCCTATCACATTAGAGCCTGGGGTGAGAAGCTTGGTCACATCATATGTATCGTAGACATGACGGTGGTGGAAGGACTGCCAACCCGGGGCCAACACACTGTCACCGACCCGCTTCCCATTGATCTCCGCTTCGTAAATACCAAGAGCAGTGATGTAAAGTCTAGCCGAGGCAATATCATCGGGAAGCTTGAACTCTTTGCGGAAGTAGACAGGTCGTTTGGGCGCGGTGACATTGACCTTGATCGTCGAAGCGATGGGCTTCACGTTGTCCCAGCTCTTCTTGAAGAGTGCTGTCTCGACAGAGACCCAATCAGACCAGGGCGTCGAAGGCTGCTTTGAACCGCCGTGAGCACGGACCCTGACGGAGACAGGTTGGGCTTCTTCGAGTGGAGAATCAGGCCACGGCTGGTAGACAGAGTCGGAGGACTTGGAGGAGAAAGATTTTGGCTTGCCATTGACGCTACGAGTGACTTGGATGTCGTAAGAACTTTGTTCCCAGTCAGGAGCGTCGCCATCGAATCTCCATGAGATTCTCGGTGCTGTCTCTGCGATGCCCAAGGGTGAGCTGTAGTGCTCAAAAGAGACCCGAGCGATTGACAGAGCCATCTTTGCTGAGCTTGCTTGGAACGAGGTGAGCTTCAAGGCCGTTTGGTCCCTTATTATATAGACAAGCCCTAGCAAGCACTAATAACTTTTCATGGCAAGAATTTCGAGCCTTCGTGAGGACCGAGGTCTATTTCCGGTATTGATCATCATCGGATATGCCGTCCCCAGCCTTCTCGCTGATTGATAACCCGAGCCATTTCGATCATCTTGACCGAATGTAACATTGCGGGGAAGAATGGAATGAACTGGCTGGGGTAAAACGCGGGGAAATGCAGATGAACATCTCATGACAAGTCAGGGTTTGTCATCGCTGTAACATAGCCCGTCGACTTGGAAACATACGCCGTCATCGACACATGGTTGCCGTCGTCTCAATAATACCCCGAATAACTTCGGGACCTATTTTCTTAGATAAATCTTCTAGATGATCATGAGAAAGAGACTTCTCTCTAGTCTCCAGGCAAATACGTTGACCTTCCAGTCAATTTGCCCGTTCGTTATAGGACATGTCGTTGAGTAAAAGTGGATTATTGTGTCTGGAGGCCTTTTCCATATTGGAGCTAAATCGCAGTAGCTTGCATAGACTTTTCTTTGCCGTCGGATTTTCCGCGACACGGCATCGGAAAACCCGGTGTTTCTTGGTGATCTCCTTCACATCTCCACATGGACCACTAAATACGGGTCGTTTGTGGTCAAGATTTAGAAACGCCCTATGATCTTTTATTGCCTGAGAATGGAATTTTTCAAGAAGTCCCAAATAAGGTTAATATTGATACTAAGCTCTTTGAAATTTCTGCAAGCGATCTTCGGTGTCGAAAACCACATCAGAAGTTCTCATGGCTCACAGCCACCAAAGCGTATCCTTTATTTTGTCGAGAACTAAAATGAAAATATTTTCCAGTGTTAAAGACCAACAGAAACTTGCAAAATGATTCCTTCCACCCAAGAAAAGCCATAACTACTAAAGCAAGATCGTCAGCCTAGGTAACGAGGACAAGCAAATGAAAGATGTCTTGGCCTCTTTTCGTTCATGGTAATGTTCTTTACCTTATCCATACAAAAGACCAGTCTGTTTAAATATCTGCGACGTGAAGATCATGCCCTCAAAAGGTCCTGACAAGAGTTGACTGAGGGACAGACTCCTATGATGTCTTCCACAGATGCCGTTTCCGACAGTCCACTGTTCCAGTCTGCTCCTTGTACGCAGTAAGCTGGTGTATGCACACCTCGAAACTGGACTTCATCTGTTCCAACTTTGCGTTATTCCGATCCACAACCCAGTCTCCCTCATCATCCTTTACGAATGCAAGGTAGTCCATCGGGAAAAGCCAGTATCCAGGAACAACCTCTGTTCCCTTCGCTCTGAAGTCCTGGATAAAGAGATCCGCTGCACATTGCCACTTCTTAGTTCTGTTTGGAAGACACTGGTGTAGTGTGTCTCCGTGACTCAACATGCAGCCATAGTTGACCTCGGGCGACAGCTTGATTCCTTTTCTGGTCAAGAGCCAGAACCAGGCCCAAGCACTAAGTCTCATACCCTCTATAGGCAGGTATTGAGGTGTGTTGGCTTTGGCCCACCGGTCGTGAAACCCAGGCGGGCCAACACTAATAGGGTCCAAGGGCTGTGGGAGCATACGAAGGTCCGCCCATCGTGGATCCAGACATCCTGGTATAGTGTCCTGGAAGCTGACGTTTTGCAGTCTTCCCAGGCCCTCTTTCCACAACTCTCCCTCTACATCGTCTTCTGGGAACGAATCATACTCCCAAGCCAGTCCATTCCTGCCAGATAACTTAACTTTAAGGTCAGGAGCTAGGTTGACGAGCCCAACATGCAAACGATCCAGGGCCCAAACACAATGAGCGAAGCGGCCAAACCCTTCGGTAAGGCCCATGCGTATGGTGTCCAATTCCGGACGGAGGTACAGAGTCCCCTTTTCGTAGAACCCCGGTTTCATATATGTACATGGAATGTGTACCCTGTAAAATCTTTTCGCAGCCTGGCGCGACTCAGCGTTGACGCGGAACAGTTTGCTTATGGCTGCTTTGTCATCGACCATGACACTGTATTCCTTCTTCGATCCCGCATTGACTTTCGTCTCTCGTCCGTCGGTAAGTCTGGGAGTAGTTGGAGAGTTGATCAGGTCTGAAACCTCTGTTTCGAGTGGCCGGCCGTGGAGTAACTCCATAGTTCGTCCTGTATCCCTGCTTATTCATTAGCTTTGCGGTACCTTTGATAGGGACATCGAGATAGGCTTACGAGCAATCCTCCCCCAGGGTCCAAACGTGCATACTCAAAACTCTCTCCTTCTTGAGAGCTTCTTCCCAAATCATGTCCCGAAGCTCGATCGGGAGTTTGGCAAATTGAGGGAAAGTTGCCATCTCGTTGCTCTTGGGGGTGTGAGTAGGGATGCTAAGGTCAGACATATCGGTGTTGGTTATGGTATAATGTCTAAGTTGTGAGCTAGATGTGTTGTTTGCAGGAGACATGTGGCTAAGAGCTTAAGTCAGTAGACAGAACCTAGGATATCGATGTTGGAAAGTCTTGTCAATGATGAGTGAGCTGGACTGGATGTAAGAGACTTTAGAACGAGGAAATGGAAATTTTCTGCACCTGGGTCTCCGCTTGCTTTATATTTTTTCTTCTGACGGGAATATTCGCACACTAAACTCAAACGAGATGAAGAAGCTGGACACTTCAAACTTTGGGCCGCGTGCGCGGGGGTTGTTGAACTTTGAAGGATGAAGGTTTCGCTTTACAACTATAGTGCTATTCTGTCTAATCAGCTCTATCCTGAGTGAATATACTTAAAGCTTCAACACTAATAATTTCAGTATATTCACATAGTCATGTATTACGGGAAGGATACCATGTACCGAGCAGAGTTACTTCTCTGAGTACGTTTATCTGAAACTCTTCATCAACTGTAGCCAGACATGCGTTCTGTGGCCTGTGGGCAAATTATGTTGATCTCTTCAGTTTCCTTGCTCGTAAGAGAAATCGACGAGTAGCATTGGTTGAGTGGGCTAGCATGCCACGTCAATGAAACTACCTATGCCGTCGTAGATGGTTATTGTGAACCTATCGCACATGTAAGCGTAACACTTAATACTCTGCTTATGTGAATATTGGTAGTCCTGATTTTATCTAATCCTACAAGTCTTCCGAAGCAGCCTGTTCTTCGACAGCAACGACGAGAACATTCGAACTTCTTGCTAATCCATCCAGGGGTTGTCTAACTGACTAATATGTGTCCAGCTCAATCACCAGGAAGCTTCCAGCCGTGAGGACATATAGTGTAAGTGCCTAGCCTCGAATTTGTATTGAGTCTGTGCTCCATTCGTGTTTTGAATCATATCTCCTATGTACACTGCTGTTTCTTAGTAATTGAACAAGCAACTGGACTATTCCAGAAAAGAAGAGTCTCGAAATTGAAAAGAATGATAGCCTCGGTACAAGTTCAGGTTGGTTCTTTGTAGTCATAACTGAATTCGCCTTACAATCATAGACCTGGTAACTAACATGGCTGCCTATACTTTAACCTTGTTAGTGATGTCGAATGATGTGCTGACTGACCTTGCGAACGCCATAGACCTAAACCTTCTGGAGTTTAATGTCGCCTTTATCAATGGAAGTTGCGACAAGTTGGACTGACTCCACAGGTTCCAATCTTCCAGTCCATGTCTCTCATCCCATGTGTATAGTGTTTGCGTTCCTGCCACAGTCTCTGGAGTCGCGTGAATCGCCAGTAGTCCTATCATTGTCATCGAACTTTCTTCTGCATCTACGCGTTGAGTGGCAAGGTCGCGGTTTTGAGTTCAACACGAAAGTCTGTCGCAATTAGAGACCCTCGGTCGGGCGTGACTTAATATTTCTGTATGAAGGCTGATTGGCTCTAGTCGGAGACATAAATTACTTTCTCTCATTTAAACTTTTAAACTAAGCACCTCAGCATAAAAAAGATCTGTGAGTGCCTACAGTTCCGACCTTCATACCCTCAACCTCAGACGTGTTGGGAATCATGCGTTCCCAAACCCTTAACTATTGCAAGCCGACTTTGTGAAGATGCTCTTCAGTAAGCTTTAGTGCTACCCTAGCCAGGGCATAAGGGCGTTTCAAGTTATGTAATATTAGGAGGACGTTGACCTGCCTCCGATTCAGGGGTTATGAGATACGGCAACGGCTGTTGTGCTGCTGTACCTCTCATGAATACATGTAAACCACGCACTATGAAAGTTGGCATTCCGCGTATGCAGGCTTTCTATCCCAATTCGGCCTTGCCTTTTTCTGTTGTGACTCAAAATGTCATGTTGGTTCATGATATCACCAACCGCGACCAGGCTCACATTGACTCAAAGGCAGCAACACGAACCACGTCCAATATTTCCCTTCCTCAACATCGATGTTTCACTAGAAGCTGGGCGATTGGAGTTACAAGAATTATTTCCATGACCGCAAGCAAGGACACTGCACCTCAAACTTGTCGTTTCAGCTGTAGGGTCGGATTGATTATAAAGTGTAGAGAAGGTTGGTGCGTGGCAATATGCTCCAGGCTATTTGTTGATAAACATAAATGGATGGAAATCGCGAAGGATAAATTCAGTCACAACGCGCACAAAGCTTCTAACCATAGGGCAGTAGGTTTATTTAGGCTTCCGCACTTTTATAAAAGATCACCCTTTCCTCTTTCTTCCCGGGGAACGATCTTTCACCTTCTGCATTCACATCACCAAATATATTTATCATTTCTTTCTTAAACTGTCTTCATTACATCATCATCAACAGCCCTTGACTGGTATGAGGTAGACTTTCATGCGCTATTGGAATTGATCTAAGTGATTCAGGATCATTTCCATTTTCAAGACTCGGCCGAATAAGCACACCACTCTCAACCAGCTTGAAGCTGATGAAGCGATCTGCTTGCGACCATGACAACTCTCCTGAGGACACCAAGAATGATTCAGAGAAACGACCGAGAATGGAACAAGATCAGATCGGGAGGCATCAGTCGTATCCTCTTTTGGCTTCCATCCTTCCAGATGGCAAAGACGTGGCCAGGCCCAGCCCTCCTACTCCGCCTCTCCAAGACTATGATTTCCCCAATCATACAAATGAAACCGTTTATGAGATGGATGCTCCGATACCCAGGGGGTTCAATACTCTTCGATACAAACTTCTACCCCCGCCTGCAGCATCCGATGCTTCAACCTCTGTCAGCGAAGATCTCTTCTCCGACGCGGAGTCCAATTTCGGCTCTTGGTCACAGAGTCTCATTTCAAGCAGTACAGGCTTTGACGAGGAACATCCCCCAATTAGGCCACCATGCCTCATTTCAAAGCGTGCCACTAGCCCTCTTTCCTCATCCTCCGAAAGTGATTCAGAGTCTTCTTCATGCTCCCTTTCGTCAGAAGACTCAGAGGTACTTCACTTATCAGAGCCCAGCTTCACCTATGCCTCTACAGAAAAGGAGATTTCCGGCTCTATCATATCTCCTGAGATCAAGTCAAATGCTCTTGACCGCTTTGAGAAACAGCGACTGGCGATCGAGACTACTCATCTACCCAATCCAGGGGGACGTACTCATTGTTGGCTCATGCCACTCCAAATCCTCGACATGTCAACTCATGGATTGTATGAAGCCTGCCCATACCATCACGCCGAGGAGGAATATCCTGCAACCGAAGCTATGTGGAAAGATACTTCTACCAGCTATGCAGAACGCCGCCCTATTCCAGCTAAGGGTGACACTCAAAAGTCTTTGAAAAGGCAGAAAAGGTACATATCTATGGACATCGAGCCTTACAATTTTGGTCGCAGCAAAGCAACTGTTGCCAGCTTACCAGAGTACATTCGCACCATGATCATGTCATTTTGTACTGAGCCAAAAGACCTCATCGCCTTGATCAATTCATCCTCAGTCTTCCTTCAACCCTTTTGCCGAAGCCGTCGTGCCATCGTTAGCCAAATCACCCAGAGTATGAGATTACGTTTCGGTGGTGATATGCCCTCCAGCTGTCTTATGGTGGCACGGCTGCGCAATATGGAATCCAGGAGTGACGCCGGTAGCCCTGAGGCTCATAAGGCCAATGTCAAAAGAACCATCAAGAAGTTTTTGACACTCACTCCAAAGGGGCCTTTGCTCCATCCGAGTTACAGTCTTCGACAACTAAGATTCGTCTCAGAAACTCTTGAGACGGCAGAAAGTGTGATGACGTGCTACGCGCATCAAGCATGGATAAGCAGAAATGGCATGGGGAAACTAGGGCCGTCTCACACTGTTGAAGATTTGGTGCTCTTCAAGACTGAAAGGAAAGGCTTCATCGATGCTATCTGTCTGTACGATGCTTATTGCACAGCATTCTTCTCTGAAAATGCAATTTCATCCGTTGGTGACATCACCCTACGGCAGAGCTTCCTTGAAGAAGATGGTATACCAGGTGAGATCATCAACCGGTTCTACAGCATCAGCAACTACCTACATCAGTCATATTTCAATTGGATACATATCGCTATAAACGAGGCACGCTATGATCCTGCTGCCAAGGACGAGAACCTCAGACTAATTCCTCTTTTGGAAAAGCACATCGGCCTACTTGTTAACCATTTTGTCTGTAGCGGTCCAAGCATTTTCAGAAGTTTGCAAGAAATGAGAGCTACTCCACGCTCTCGCTTCCTTTTAAGACTGCTGGAACGTTGTGAGACAGACGCAGCATATCGTCAGAAAATCACGTCTCCACAGGGCAGAGAAGGTAATCGGCTCTGGGCATATCGCGAGATAGCGTCCGGCCTTACCACGGAGGAAGTACAGACAGCACAGCATTTCTGGGACCCGGCTATTGTCAGGAGTATGAAAGTAGCGCCCTCAGTCTGTTCCACGGTCGGCCTACCGTTGCGGCACAGGCGGGCCACCTAGACTTACTCAACACTCTTTCGTCACCACGTCGATATAGGACTTACAGAAGCCATTTTATTTAGCATCCAAAAATTAGAAAACCACCAATTAATAACTAGTATTACTTATTCCTGTAATTGATTACCACCAGATTGTCATAAACCTCAAGCATTACGAGAGGTTGGGGGTTTTACAGGGTGTTGGCTTTATATGTCTCGCTGAGGTGATAAGCTTTAAGCATCAATCGATAAGGGCTCGGCCTGACATCGCTCAGTCTGCCTTTGAGTAAGGCGCATGATGTACGCATCATCTGCTCGGTCTGTCAACTCAAAATAGGCAACGTGCCTTCGACTCAACATTTATCAAAACATAGACGTGTTCTTTTTGGAAAGATTAAAGATAAGTGCAACAAATACCAGCCCCTGCTGTTTCTTCTCATTTTCCTTCCGCGTTGCCATCACCATGATAGGACATCTAATCTGAGTCCGAACTACTACTCGAATCGTACTTCCCACTTCCCTTCCCAAACTTCGGCTCCGGCAGGTAAAGATGCGTCAAATTATGCGTCTCTCCTTTCTCCATTCCACGGCACGTATTCCCCGCATCAAAGCACTTCTGGCACGTATCCCAATCCCCATTGTTGCAAACACTGCAATAGTAAAATCCGCCCTTGATCAAGAGATTACACATCGCAGTAGTACTTGGGATAGACCTTGACCAAGTTGTGCTTGCCTTTGCCTTTGTAGATCTCTCCTTGCTCGAGGCAATCTCTACAGATATCGTAGTCGCCGCCATCACACTTCTTGCAGTGTGCGTACGGACCGCTGATTACCTGGTCGCAGATGTTGCACTCGAGGTCGACTTCCCATGCTGGAAAGTAGGCGAAGTCAGAGAAATCTTCTGCCGTGCGGCCATGCTTCTTGGCTTTACGTTTGTCTGATAACACGTTAGTATTCTTTCGAAAAGGACTCATATCTCATGTCCATCTCACCAATTCGTTCTTTGACAAAATATCCCGCTGCACCACCTGCAGCAAAACCTCCCGCTGCGGCCAGAAAGGTCGATGACTTCTTTTCCTTTCCAGGCAGACTTGGTCGTGATGCTTGTGGATTGGCGTACTGTGGCTGACCCAGACGTGTCATATGTCCATCATGACCTCTGCTATGAGTGTTTAAACTTCCGGGAAAGGCTGGCATGCCTGGAAGTGGCGGAAGTTCTAAGGGAGCTTGCCAGGAGCTTCTGCCTGACGTTTCGACGTAGCACCATTGCTGTGACTGTTCAGACCAATATGGTACCCATGGCGGAGGCGTAGGGCATGGGTGACTGTGACCATCAGTGCCAGATGTCACTATCGCTGGAGGTGATTGGATTGAATGAGTGTTTAGGGCTGCAGGAGGCGGCTGTACAGATTAGCTCGGAGGTGCCGAGGATGACGGCCATTGCTGATGCTGAGGCTGTTGTGGGGACTGATAAGTATTGTATGGCGGCGGCTGTGGCTGCGGACTGTGAGTTTGAAGTCCAGAGTCCTGTTGGCCTGGGTATGACTGTTGTGATTGTCCATTATAAGATTCATAACCGGAGTTTTGATGGTTCTGTCCAGGATAAGGAGGTTGTCCATTTGCTTGCTGCTGATTTTGGTAAGGGTTGTTGTTGTAAGACTGGTAACTCGGTTCAGTGCTTTGGGGCGCTGACGAATGCGCTACAATCTAATGGTTAGCGGATCTCTCAACCAGCTAAATCGTGGTGAGCTTCACCTCCTTGCTGTTGTCCAAGGCGTTAACCCAAGTTGAGCCCTTCGAATTCTTTTTTGAACTTGTTCAAGAAGGACATAATGTCGATTTTCCTACTTTGAAATGGGGAAATGGACGAGACATCGCTTTGTATGTTTTTAAGGTAAAGAGCCCCGCAAATTAATTTCAACACTCGAGGATGAATCAACGTAAGCGAGGATGTATCTCCAAAGAATGGTTCTGGAACGTGAGATTTTATGTTTCAAGACCTCCACTTCGTCATCGGAAAATTTAGCCAGCTATTACCAAGGCTTAGAGCTGGTCCTTTTGCTTAGCAGGATCAAATGTTCACGATCCCTCGTTAATTAGTGTAAGCGTTGGAGTATCGGTGAGCTAGCTAGCCTTACAGGGGACTGGTCATTGGACATCTGTACGCCATTGCCCTTAAGATTGGTGCTTCTTGAGACGATGATATCATCATTCTGCAGAAAACTTCTCAGGTGAAACTGGTTCGATCGTTGCATCCAATAATTGCTGGCGATTGGCATGCTGATTTATTTTGAGAGACCTCCCTGATGATCGTTGGAGGCATCGGGGAATTAACTCAGCCCTGTGAGGCATTGTTCAAGGTTCTGTAACACCGTCCTTACCCCTCGCCACAGGATCTGAGTGTCTCTGACTTGTTACTAGTGAGATTCTGTGATTTATCATCACGCGATCAGGTGCTCTGCGCGCAGAGCATTTATTTGATGGTTAATAGAAGCTTGTGCTTAGGTTGGCTGGCAGGCGTGACAGCTTTAGCTGTTAACATATAAGGGATCAGACACGATGTCCCACACATCAGTCAGTGAAACATTATTGAATATCTATTACTCATTCCATCACTGACCTGACACGCCGCTTATCTCCTCTTCCCATTCCTCAAGTGTCTTGACCACATATCTTGTCTCTGGATTCTCAGATCCAATTACCTCCCTATAAAGGTTTACACAAGTTTGCATCAGTGATAGAGCATTTTTTTGTTGACCCATCATCTTCAAGATTCTGGCGCCAAGCACCATAGTGCGTAACGTCTCCGGATGACGTTCGCCCAATACTTTCTTGCTCCCGACTAGCACTTGTTTCTGGAGCTCAATAGCTTTTTCAAGTTCGCCTTGTCCCAAACACGCCTTGGCCAGGTGATTCATGCTTAGCAGCGTATGTGGGTGCTCTGAGCCTAGCACAGTCTTGCATCCTTCTACAACTTCTGTTCCTAAACCTTCAGCCTTGTCATATTGATTCTGGTTCAAGTATGTTGAGACCAGATTAGCTTTTGTTGTCAAAATATCTCGATGCCTGTCTCCCTGAGTCCTTTGTAAGACTTTCAGTTTTCGATCGAGAAGTTCCTCGGCTTCAGCACCTCGAAGCTGAGATATATAGCTAAGTGCCAGATTGTTCATACTGTTGAGGGTCCGTTTGTGCTCTTCTCCCCAAATTCTCTTGCTCGTTTCGACGAGCTGACTTTGAATCTTTTCTGCCTCAGCAGTCTTGTGTTGTCTTCTATAGGCTTCACCCAACCCACTCAAACACTGCCGCATCGTCTTACTCTCTTCCCCAAGACTTGGAAAACCTGTCGTAATTGCTTTTTTGCTAATATGCTCCGCAGTTTCATACTTGCCAGTTTCAGTCAAATATCTTGCATATCGATACAATAGCTTTACCCATGGTTTGACATCAGCCATCTGCGGCTCTTCCTGTGTCACAGACTCCAGATGCGGCAGAAGCAGCTGGCATGTAGCCCAGTCTCCTATTTTGTAAGACCTGAGATTGTCGCACATGGCGGATATGAATAGGCTCTTCAGTTGCGGCAACTTATTTGAAGATGATGTCCAGGCCCTGGTGCAAGCCTGCACGGTTGAGTGCAACTCGAAGACGCCTCGATCGGTAGTCATATGAACGAGGTAAAAGCTACGAAGCACGTCTAGATCATCTTCAAAGCCCACAACTTTGTCTTTCCGATGCTTGAGCTTGCCGTTGTAGTAATGAAGTGCGAATTCGGGGATTCCTTTATGATCGAAAAGGCTCATGAATGATAAGAGATTGGCTGCTGAGGGCTTTTCGTGGCGGATCTTCTCGAACGTGACTTGCCAAGTGGTGATCACAGAGTTGGAAACAGTCTCGTCTCTACGAGGATCACCAAGATCGACCTCCAGAAGGCTGTTCTTCTTATAATCACTTTCTTGGAATGCTTCCAAGTAGCTTTCAACTGATTCCCGTGGCGAACGTCGGTTGATGTAGGCTGCAGCTTGTGTGATTGCGAGGGGGATGTAATCCAAAGCCTGAAGGAGCTCAACAGCAGGGTCTTTCTCGAATTCATTGGTAAGTTTGGTTTTGATAAGACGTAGTCCTTGAGCCTCGTCCATGGTAGACACTCGGAAAATGTTCTTGTGACTACCTGTGAGCCTTTGCGCAACATCAAGACTGCGAGAGGTGACCAGGATGGCGCCATGAGGAGCCTTAGGGAGGAATGACGCTAGGGGTCGTTCATGAGTGTCTTTGGGGTAGAAAAGGTTGACGTCGTCGGCATTGTCGAGTATCATCAGCCAAGGACCAGACTCATCGTTCTGCAGCCAGTCGCGAACAAGCGCAAGAGTATCCGTGCTTGGCTCGTCTCGTTTGGGTAGTTTCATTATCTCTGCCATAGCGCGGTAGGCTTCTTCGAATCTCGGTCTTGAGCTTGCATGGACCCAGAATATATTGACATCGGAGTTCTCGTCGTGAATAGAATATGCAAAGTTAATAGCAACCTGCGATTTACTACATTTTGTCAATTAATACTATTGTTGGAGCGACGGAGATACATACCCAAACCCTCCCATGCCTACAAGAGCCATACGGCCAGCAGAGCTACTGTACTTGTCTATGAGCCATGCCGTCATATCGGGACGTGCGACAAAGTCTTGATCTCGATCAAAGGGAATATTGAAGCATGGCGGGCGAGCTACTGATGTCGTGCTCTGCTGTTGGAGTGACAAACCTTCGACCCTTTGCGACATGTCGAGCAGAATTGTCCTATTGAGGTTAACGGAGGCATTAGTCGTTGTGGTCACCCGACTCACGTTTGGTCGACTTGCAGGCACAACGTGATTGTCTGCTTGTAGTGCTCAAGATTTGATACAACCGTACTGATTTCCTTGCTGTCGAAAGGCCATTTAAGCGCGCGGAGACCAAATCGACGCATGGACTTCCACGCACTCCCAGGAACGAGTCTATTCTGGACTTCTGCTAGTTCTGTATAGCATGCATTCAATGAGTCAACTAGCGACCGCGATGTCGCCAGCGCCGTATTCTTGGGGTCGTTGATGAGCCGCTGGGCAGCTTCGAGGCATACGTCCAGGTCTTTTAGCCGGCTTTGAAGTCGGGCAATGTCAGCCCTCGCACTTCCCGCTGCGGTCGAGTACTGGACGCAGAGTTTCCCGACTTTGGCGGAGAGTTCGACGATGGCGATGATGCTCGCGGCGAGCCCGACGGCCTCAGCCATAGTGAGCGATGGGTTTTGTCAATTCAGGTGAATGCCGATGGGATGCAGAGTCGCGCTTTATCAACAAGCAGTGAGGGGAATCATTTTCAACCCTGTCTGCCCAATGAGGCTGTGGTGTCAGCTGAACCCGACGTGGCTTTTATGGTCCAACGACAATGGGCTTTTGACATCAAGGGGCATTGATTGGCACAGTCGGGCGGTGCATTCGGGTGTTGGGCGCCTAATTTCTTCGCTGCTGCGTATGCTCTTGGTGCACACCATTGATCGCGACTGAGATGCGCTTGATTACAGGACAGAACTGCAGCACATGAATCACTCACCGCAATAGGTATCTAACCTTCTTCAAAATATGCATTCACATAGACAGCCGTGGGCAGGGGCCAAGCTAAATCTGATAAGCATAAGGCTGCAGAATTGAGGGACGCATCTGAGAATGATAAAAAGCATGAGGTCCGACTATCAGGAATAATTGAAGGCTCTCTATTCGTAAGTGGCTCCTCGCTATGCAAACTGCGCTGAGCTCTATCATTTAACAATCTAGGTCATAATCCCATGTATGTTGTTTCCGCTTTGATATTGTATCCGTACCATCCGTCTAACGCCATGACCAAAACGCCATTGAAATGCAAAGTAAATATTCGTATCCTCTCAAATTCATGCAACAGACTCTGTTCTTCGCGAACGTCGACGTCTTCGACCTTCATGCAAAGGCGTAGAACGATGCTTATTCACTGCCGCCAAATCGAGAGTTGACTCTGTAGCAGCTCTTTTGACAACCTCCATAGACCCATCTTCTTCAATGGTCTGGATAGTCATCTCTCTCTTCTCATCCTCAATCATCTCAATCTTCTCTCCGACACCGAGAAGTCTTGGTGTATCAGATATCTTGGGCTTTTCAGACAGGCCCATCCAGGCTAGAGTCTTCTCCCATATTCCCGGTGGGGGAGGACTCCACATTCCGACATCGAAGGTATAGTGCTGTTGCTCATCGGGGAGATTGAGCCATACGAAGGGTCTGTTGCTGTTGATCCTTCCTTCGATGACAAAATCGCCAATCTCGTCGGGGATTCGGATTGGCTCGGGGATGAGAATGGTTTGGTAGGCGGGTACGATGAGGTGAAGTTGGACAGGTCGGCAGAACTGCTTTCGTCGTGCTTTTGACATTTCTCGCTTGGTGATGCGCTCTCGGGCTGCGAGCATGAACATGAAAACGGTGTCGAGTTGGTTGGTGTATCCGCAGAATCTAGGACTTAATGGCTTCTCTTCCACGAGGTGGAAGAACTTGGGGTACCAATCTGTGTCGGGATGGTAAAGGAAAAACCAGTGATCGCGTTCGGTGTCGACACTCGATTGACTTAATCGTTCTCGAATCATATCGAACACATATTGCGGGAAGTCTCGTTGCGCCGTAAGCGCCGCCTGAGCTTCCAGACTGGTCGAAATCTCGCCAAGCTTGGCCGCGATGAGGTTCAACGCCTGGACACCCTGATACGTCTGAATGACATTTGCGCCCATGCCCAACGTCGTAGCGACAATACTAAACTGATGGAACAGTCTCGTACTATCAACTAACGACTGGCCCATGATGTGCATCTGCGGCAGAATACTCTGCGCGCCCTTGATGGTCTGCGACGCGCTAGAGAGAAAGTCGTTGGCATGTTGGATAACGTCTCCGACCTTGGAGATCTTATTCGCAGCCTGGACGATCTTGATGACGGGCGCTGCAGAGGCGCATGTGCTTGCCACTTCGAGGGCTGCTGCTTGGAATTTTCTGTCGCGAACTGCTTTGGTGAAGAATTCGTCGAGGCCCATGATGTTAGTTTCAAAAAAGAGTGTGTCGAGAGAGTGAAGCACGTAGAATGGGTTTGAGAGTGAGGCCGTAGAAAAAGGCGGTAACTGAAGATGGATACGGCTTATCGATGTGGCGAATGTGATTGGTTTAGCGAGTCTGAGGTGACCAATTGGAGATGGACAGCTGGTGAAGTGGATAAGTCAACTTGCGGCCCAACGTGAGACGCGTATCATAACAAACAAGAGTCATCGCCTTGAAATCAGGGACGGGAATTATGACGCAGATGATCACGATAGAGACAAAGAGCTTGAGCTAGAGAGACCCTCTTTGTGGATTGTCTCGGTAATGTGAGCTTGGTACCTGGATCGTAGCTAAGAGCTGAGGGGAGGGAGCTAAGAATAGCTTCAGGGGGAGCTTCAGAAGTGGGCCCCCAAGATCTGTAGAAGAAACGCGGATGCACAACTTAGCAGATCATTTTATGCAAGCTTGTGAAAATGTGACATTATGCGTAGGGTAGGTTCAGAGTCTCGATCGACATCATGAAGTCACGGGGGATATGATTCAAGAACTCGACATCTGTTCAGTGATTAAATATAAATGACATTTATTACAAAATTAAAGCACTATCGTTAACATCAGTGAGGCTGGGGGGTATCCAAGGAACAAGACCTCAACTTTGCCGACCACCATACTCCACCTATTGCTTTTGCATCTTAGCCCAAGCAATCGTCGCACCCAACCGATCTCCAGACTCATAAAACATGTAAGTATTCCCTCCAGCACTCGCAATATCAGGCGCTGCAACCCTTCCAACATCCTCCCCCTTCCCTCTAGACTGATACAGCAAAATTGGCTCGACCCCAACATCCCGCAATGTCTGATCAATAGTCCTTGCGTAAATCTTACCCGAAGAGCCATGATAAATAACATAGGCCTGACCATTCCACGTCCAGTAATTCGCACCCGAGACATCTGTCCCCTCAGGTCCGCCAGGCTGAACAACATAATCTGAATCAACAGTCCATTTCCGACCATCCACAGATTCAGCGAGACGGATCTTGCGCCTGTTGTCTTTTTCGTTGGCCATGTAAAACATTGCGTAGTTGTACTTGGATGCAGAGTTGGGATGCGCAAAGACACGAGCGTAGCTTGATTCTGTGGTGTTGGACCCGCTCATTTGGTTGTTGACTGCTACGCCTCCGTAACGGAAGTCAACGCCGTTGCTTGATTCTGCCCAGCGAGTTTGGGTGTTATCGCCGTGGAAGTAGAGAAACATTCGGCCGGCGTCAGAGTTCCAACTTGCATCTGGGCTTGAGACGTGCGGGACTGAGTAGTATGAATCCCACTTGTTGGCAATGACAGGGTTGTTCTCATACTCTTCCCAAGGTCCCTCGAGACTGTCAGAGTATACCAGCGATATACCTCCTGGGTTCTCGTGTGGTGCGTAGTAGAGATACCATTTTCCAAGAGGGTCGTCTAGATATTCCCCTGCATGGAAGATACTGGGAAAGATGAACTCATTTGTTGGATTGTACGTGAAGGTGGCTTTGTCGGTAACATGGCCTTTGTACCAGAAGTTTGGCCAGCCATGAGGCGCAGGAGCAAGTTGTCCACTCGCAACAGAGGCCAAAAGAGAAACGCCCAACAGGCGAATAGTCGTAGTGAAGCGCATGGAGTATATATACAAAAAAGCCGCTGATTTTCACTCGAATACAGAGCAGATGAGATCAACAGATTAACGCAAAATCTCCCAGCATTTTCTTCACCTTTTATAAACATTATTTCCATCTGCTGTATAACCAACATCCATTATCATCGGGATCAAACCGACACTCCCCGAAAGCATGTGAGTCGTGCCAGCGCATGACGAGACAAAAAAAGGCATGACCCATCCTCATCTCGCTAGTGTCAGCCTTGCAAGCAATTATGCGAGAGTCAGGGCAGCGTCTCGACTGGTCAGAGGAGCCGCGCAGTGTAACATCGGAAAACAAATCTGCACGCCAAGTCTGGGGTCGTTACATGGATCTCCCCTAGGTTTTGGTGGTGGGGTCAGGTACCGTGTTATTCCCGGTGTTTCAGCGTGTGACGAGGGCATGTGGTGGTTGGGGATGCTGACTTGTGTATGCATATTTCAATTAGTGCATGGACGGTAGTTGGATGAACAAAACACGTCATTGGGACGAGGTTATTGGTTGTTTCGGGTGATGATTCTGTATGTCAGCTTTCTAACGTGGCAGTATCTCGTCCGATGTAGCCGATGTGCAATGACAGGGAATGATCTCAGCTAAGGATGTGGCTTGGCAATGTCTTGGTTGTCAGCGAGGATGCAAAGATATTCGGTGTGAGATGGCTTTGCAGCGATGGAATAGCGCTCCTTGGCTGCGACCTTAGCATTAGGTGAGCATTCTCGAACGATGAAAGCCGGAACAGTTGAAGTCCATAGAGCTATGAACCGTTGAGTGATTCTTTGGAAGGCCTGACTGCCGTGGTCAAATTGATCTCATGTCATGGACTCATGCATCTCAACGTCTCCATACGACTCCAACCAGGTGCTCAACATTGCAACCCAATATTCAACATTACATAACAGTCAACGGACCTCCTGTTTCAAACATGTAAGGCTGGCCGTTTTTTATCGAACCCAATGAAACGTCGCGTCACTGCAACGGACCTTGTTTGTGAGCCGTTGTTTAGGATGACGAAACAAAACTACTTTATTACACGTATTGAAACAAGTTTGCCCATGTATGATTGACAGGACCTAAGACTATTACAGATCATGAATTTTCGCTCCTCAAGCCTGTCAGATTACCAGAAATGACGTGGCTACCTTTCTTTTGTTCTGACGTGTTTATATGCATGACATGCACATGAAACACGTAGAGAGCCTATACCTGGAGGACATATATCAAAGCGCCCAAGCCACAAAGCTGAGAAACGTGTTAACAGCATCATCTTGGTATGTCAAGCTGAAATGATGAGACTTGTTTGGACTATAAGAAATCGCATAAATGGTGGCATCCGTTGTTTGGCCAAAAGTCAATTGCCTTGCCCAGTAACACGTTATTGGCGGTTCTCATGGCGTTGTAAAGTTTATGCAAAGAGAAAATTTGTCAAATGAAACGTTTTCGGTATTGCCGCTGATGTTATAAATAAGATTTAACAGATACTTGATCTGTTAGAAGATAGGGTAACCCTGATCGGTCTAGCTTACCTAATAAGGATCAGAGCTCCTTATAGGTATAAGTAGCATAGCTCCCCCCTTTTCTATATAAGAGAATTTAAGGCTCTTTTAACCCTTATATATGCCCCTTTGCTATATATACTATAGTTATAAGCCTAGGTAGGTATAAAACCTAGTAACTTTACTATACTACTTAATATATATTTTATCTTATCTTATTCTATAAAACTAATATCCTTAAAAGGATTACTAAGCTTATTAAGTATAACTATCCTTAAATAAAGCGCTTTATATATATCTACCTATATACTTCTTTATAGTTTAAATAACTAGATTCTATAGATTTAAAAGATTAAATTATAGGCTAAAGTATATAAAGCCTAGCTATAAATTAACCCTAAGTACTTTAATAAGGATTTTAATAAGCTATAAGAACTTTTAATAGAAAATTTTAATACCTTTAGTAAAAGGAAGCTTATAAAGTATAAGATTAAGGTAGCTATTACTAAAATTAAAAAAAAACTACTTACTAAACCCTCTATAAGTAACCTAAAAATCTTTTATAAAGTATCCTTTCTAGGACTATAATATATTTAAAAATAATATAAGTAATAGGCTAGTAAATACTTATAAATCCTAGCCTATATAATAAAAAGTATTAACTTTAGTATCCTTTTTTTTATACTTATTTAAATTAAAAAAGATTATTTAAATAGCTATATAATTTACTAGTTACTTTAAGGTTTAAAAAAAGATCTAGTACTAAGTATAATAATTACTATTAAGGAGATTACCTAAAAGTATCTTAAGGTCTTTAATAATACTTCTAAAGCTTAATAAAGCCCTAAATAGTAGTTTTTATAATAGTAAAAAGCTTATATATAAGCTAGACCTTTTTATATCCCTAAGATCTTAAAAAACCTAGGTATTAACTGCTTTTTAAAAGCAGTTAAGAAGAAAATAGCCCCTTTATAGGCAGAAACTAAGTAAAATATACTCCTTAAAAAGGAAAAAACTAATAAAAAAACCTTCTTTATAAAGCTAGCTAGTAAGCTATATATAGTTATTAGGAGAATCCTATCTAGTAAAAGCTATTAGGTCTATATAACGCTTAGTAATTATATAGATAAGCTTAAAAAGTATAATAACTGCCCTTATAAGCGTAATAACTATTAGTAAAAGGCTAAGGAATATGCCTTTCTTATTTATATAGTTACTAGTATAGCCCCTTATTATATTAAAAAGCCTTTTAATAGTAAGCTTAATAAAATCCAGAAAGAGCTTAATAAGCCTTTTTAAAGATAGCTTAAGCTAAAAGTTATAAGAAATAGTAGTAAAGGAAGCTTATAAGCTTAGGGAAACCAGAGGTTTACTGCTTATCCTAGTAACTTAATTAACTTTATCTTATTACCTAATATCTTAGCTAAAGCTAAGTATAATATATAGCTCTATATTGCTTACTAAGGACCTCTTTACCTGCTTATATAAAGCACTTTATTAAATACCTATAGCACTATATACCTAGTAAATATAATAGCCTTACTTAAAAAAGGTTTTTTTATTTTAATAAATAGTAACTATATAGAAGCAGGTAATATACACTTCCTAATCTTAGGAAAAGAAACTAGGGTAATTTAAAAGATTATAAATAGCTTAAAGGGGGCAAAGACCTAGTTACTAATCCTTAGTAATATTATTATTATTAAAGGATTTTATA